GCGGTGTAAGGGTTACAGACAAGACTATGCACTGCAACGCTGTCATCGCAAAACACTGGGAAGCACCTGGATGTCTGCCATCGACAGGGAAATGTGAAATCACCCCCATTGCAGCCGTCTTCAGACTAAGCAGGTGAAAAGGAGGCAGACTTTTATATTCTGATATGAGAAGGCACTTAAAACATATATTTAATCCCCCCAAATCAAATTGTTGAACAATACAAACAGTACAATACTATTTTATGTTAAATAGGTAGATTAGTGAATAAATAAAACTATTTCTATGTGCACATACACACTTATGTCGAAAGTCTAATGTAGTCCTCAAATGATACACACCGTAGTCATCATCTCTGGAGGGGAGAGTGGGGAATAGGTGAAGTTTTTCTGGTTTTGTTTTTACTTGATTAAGGGGGGAGGGTATAGCTCAGTGATAAGAGTGCATGCTTAGCATGCACGAGGTCCTGGGTTCAATCCCAGTACCTCCATTAAAAATGAAAATAAAAATAAAAGAATAATAATAATAAATAAAGTAAATGTTTTCACTTAAACTATCTGGATGTTTTACAATGAAACTCTAATCATGTGTTAATTATGTAATTAAAAATAAATTGGTGCCTTGAATCTGGATGATGGATATATAAAAGTTCATCATGCTATTATGTCAGTTGTAGGTTTAAAATTTTGTATGATAAAAAATTTTAATTGAACAAATTGTTAAAAGAAAAAAGTAAGTCTCTGAAGGCCTCTGATAAAATGCTTAAAAATGCATATTAGTAAAGTTGTCATTGGGTTCTCCTAGCAACAGAGGAAATATTAGCATTAGAAAGGAAATATTAGCCTCTACCAAACGGGGAAACTGAGGCTCAGAAAGGCAAGCTAACTTGCCCAAGGTGAGGAACAATGTTACTCTGCTAGTCCTGGAACCCCTAAATGTGGCGAACACAGAAGGGAGGGTGCTGGGCGATACCACTAGGGGAGGAATGGGGAGCCGGTTTCTGGGAAGGAATAAATGGCTCCTCCCACTATGCAGAGAGAGTGGGTACCTGCTCACCAGTGAGAGGCTGATTCATGAAAGAGGGAAGGAACAAGGGAAGGGGAGGCTGAGAAAGCAGAGAGATATGGATTTGCAGCCAGGGCAGCAAGACCTTAATAGAGATGTTAATCTTTGTTTATTCATTCGTTCAAAAAATATTGATTAAGGATCTCTTATGTGAGACCCCAGGGCACCAGGGAATCCACTCTGGGCAAGATAGACTCCATCTCTGCCCTCAAGGAGAACGTCTGCTAGAAGAGGCGGGCCTGTAAATCCCTGCAATACTGACAAGAAGAAGAAAGGGAACGGAGGGGGACTAAAAAGGGAAAAGAATCTGGACGAGCAAGCTTGAGACAGTGGCCTAAAGCCCCCTGGCTACAGGGCTAGTGTGAGCTCCCTCGTGACAGGCTGAGAATATTATATAGTTCATCCAGTTTCTCTGTTTGCTTTGGCTACCAGGGAGCTCTGTGTGTGCAACTCAGCACTCAGTTGCAGCAATCTCCTCTGGGTTTCCTATCCTCCCATCAATAATCTTCAGGGTTTTTTTGTAATTCTTGGCTTTTCCTTGTATATAATAAAAACACTTTTGAAAGTCTGCAAGGAGCAAATAAATAAATATAAATAAACTGACTTTCGCCCATGAGGAAAGTTAAGAGCCCAATTCAGACTCCCATCTGCAAAAAGCTGAGATGCTTAACACCCCCAGCATATCAGCAAGATGGCATCCACTTATTCCTGAGCCAATCATTTTGGCCACAAGCACCTCATAAGATCCTAACAGGATGTCTACTGACTCCAAAAACAAAGACACACCTTACTGATTATTCATAACAAATTTCCTGAGCAAAGAAACACTATCCCAAATTTGGTCTCCCTGTATCCTCTCCTGCCCACCTAAGACAGAAGCCACAAAACTAAGACCCAAATTGGGTGGTTAATAACAGTGATGATGATGATGATGAAGGTGATGTTACTAACTGTTGCCATGTATTGGCCCCGCCCAGCTCTCTAACCTCATCTCCTGCCTTCTTTCTATCACTCAGTTGTGCCAAGCTTAGTCGCAGCTTGGGCTTCCGCTTTTTTCTTGTTCTGGATCCTTCGTATTATACAAACTTCAGATCAAGGTCACCTCCCTGACCGTCCACTCTAAAGTTGTGCACCGCCAGTCACTTTTTGGTAACAATTACCTTTTTTTTCTATAGCATCTTCCATCTAAAATTACCTTTAGAGCAGTGGCCTTCATCTGTCTTATTTACCCACGTGTCCCAGGGCCAAAATTACTGCAAAGCAGCTGGTCAGTGCTCAAGATTGTTTACAGAATAAATGAAGGTGCCGGGCACCATGCTAAGTGCTGTGGGCTTCGGGGACAGCAGTGCCTGTGTGTGGCATGGCCCACCCCACTTTGAAATCCCTGCCTGCACAGCCCCTCTCATAGGTGGGTACCTTCGTAGGCCTCCTCCGTGTACTCAGCATTGATGAATCTGTCCAGGATGTCATTCTCATCAGCAAAGGCCAGTAGGATCCGCACGATCTCCTTGGTGTTGGGGTTGATGTTTAACAGGGCCTTCATCAGGCAGGTCTTCCCTGTGTCCATGGCCGTCAGCTTATGCATGAGGAAGTCTGCAGACAGGGAGGGTCACAGGATGGAGCTGCAGCATCTGGCAGTTGGGGGTGGGGGGTTGCTGGGCGCCTGCCCCTGGCCCTCCCAGCCTAAGGAGGGGAGGCTGCAGCATCAGACCTCAAGACCCTCCCCCCAGGGCCTCCGCTGCCTCCCTGCCCCACGCTCCCCGCTCCCCTCCTCTCTGTCCATCTCTTCCTCCTCAGGCCCCCTTGCTGGCTTCTCCTTCTCCTTGGTGCCTAGAGCCTTATCAGAGACCTTTTTGCCCTTTGCCTTTGGCGCCTCCCCCTGGTGGGGGGCAATCCCACCCACTGTCTGGCTTCCCGCTGTCGACCTAATGCTACACGGAGCTTTCAGGGTGTACCTGAAAGCTCCAGCCCAGCAGCCCCACCCTGGGTGCCAACAAATAGAGCTTACAGCCTCTCCCTTAACTGGCTACTCCCCGGCCTCCAAGACAGCTGGGGCCCAACTAGCCACCAAGTCTCCCAGTCCAAACGGCACCACCCTGGACTCACTCCTCCCATCCTGAGTCTTTCCAATGCCACTCCCTGAAGAGCTAGTCCCCCTCCCCCAGCCCTGCTGCTAGGGTCCCAACTCTGCCTGAACAGCAGCCTTCACTTTTACCCTCATCCTCCACAAAGTAGCCAGACCATGACCATCACCTGTCTAAGCCCTTCCATGGCTCCCTATTGCCCTCAGAATCAGGTTCGACATCATCAGTCCAGCATTTAAGGCTGGAAGTGTGGCAAGGGACAGGTAGGTGGACAGCAGGAGCCAAGAAAAGGACCCCAGCCCTGCACCCTCTGCCAGGGCCAGGCACTGACCAGGCACATCACTTTCATGGCGCCACTTGCAAAGCTCCTTCAGCTCCACCAGCAGCTCCAGCAGCTCCTCCACGCAGCCCTCTGACACGGCGGCAAAGATGCGCTTTTTCAGCCGCTTCTTTTTGCACCTCCTCTCTTCTTTGGCCAGGTTTGCACTGAGGCCAGAAAATGTTTCTGACTCACCACACATGCATCCACCCCACTGCTCTCTCCCCTTCCCCCGCCAGAGCCCCAGAGCCGCTGTGCTTACAGGGCACTGCCCCGGCCCCCCACTGCCTGCACATGCCTGTCACAATGCCTGAAATCCCTCCGTTAGTGCTTGGGGCCCCGGGATCTGTGCTGTCCTGTGCCGCTCCCCTTCTAATCCAAACACAATCACATGTTATCAAACTGTATCTTTGGATCCCTGTAGTAATGACCAGGAAAGATACATGCCTAACTATTCATAGTGATTGCCTCAAAAGTATGGGATTAGGAGGAAGGGAAATTTCACTTTCATATTTTGTGTTTGAATTTTTTTAATCTCTCTGTCTCCACCCACACATCCCAGATAGGCAACTACAATCATGCACTGATGTGGATCCTTTTGTGTGTGTGTATGTGTTCTTACAAAATGCACCTTGATATGTGATGGTTATGTGTGTGTATTTTTAGTGTATGTTATGGCATTGCGTTAAGTTCTCACTCTGCTGCATGCTGTTGTTTGGATGTTTTATAACATCTAAGGTGGAGTGGGTACTACTTTGATAAAATGTAATACTCCCTTTTCCCCCGCAAATGCCCTGCACACCACAGCCTCGGGCCCAGACACTTCTCCCAGCCCTCCAGGAATGGCGGCTTCTTTCTCTTTCCTGCAGGGTCCCTGTGCCTGTCCCTCTGGACCTGCCCCGCTGGCACCTGCCTGGTGGAGGAGGGGGAGGGCCAGCTCACCTGGGACTGTTGGGATTGGACGGGGTCTCTGTCACGTCATCCTGAGGAGACTGTGGGGAGTCCATGTCGTCACAGTTGCCAGAGATGCTGTAGCGGGGTGTGGCAGGAAGAGAGAGACAAGTTTTGCAGTGGACAATGATAGCACGCCACAGCCAGGCCTGGCTGTGTGGCCCAGGGCGAGCCACTGCCAGCCCACTGGAGCCCAGGACTGGGCCGGAGCAAGGGGCTGGGGCGAGGGGCAGTACTCACCACTGCCGGATGTTGGAGTCCATAGGCTTGGAGAAGATGGGGGGAGAGGTCTTGGCGACAGTGGGGTTGGGCTCAAAGCCTTCTATCTCCAGGAAGAAGTGTGCACTGGGGGGAACACCCAAGCAAGGCCATTAGAGCTAGAGCAGGGCCTGTCCACCCACAGCTGAGGGCTCACCCCCAGCCAACTCCATGCTGGACTCCGGGCCCAAGAGGCCTCGCTTAACCTGGGGTAGGAACTGTCATCATCACCCACATTTCACACGTGGGCAGGTGAAGGCTCTGAGATCAAGCAACTTGCCCAAGGTCACACAGCAGGTAGTCAATGGAGCCAGGATATAAAGGTCTGGGTGACTCAATATTAATATTGGATATTATTATTAATTAATAGTAATACTGGATAGATGAACCCAGGGGTCTCTCCTGGGGCGGCCTAACATCAGAGGGGTGCTTTCCTGCCTGCAGCTGTCTCCAGGTACGAAGGACTCACCAGAGATGCTCAACATGGCAATGGGAGCTAGAGTCTCCCTTCACTCCAACTGCCCCTCAGGTCTCAGGTCTGAGCAAGGGCCCTGCAGGAGAGGCCACAGCCTCAGATCTACAAGGGCCTTTCCTGGCTCTTGAGAGAGAGGGAAAGGGCAGGGTCATAGCCGCCGCTCAGGTGCAGTCCCCACCCCACACTCAACCTCCTTCCATCATCACCCGCTTTATTTCAGTGGCACAGAAGACAGGCTGAGAAAGGCTGATCCAGGGCAGAGAGGGGCTGCGGGGTCAGGGGACAGGGCTGAGATCCTGGTCAAGAAGGAAGACCCGTGTAGTTTACTATACAGGAATCACACCATAATAAAGGTGTTTAAAAAAAAGGGTGGGGAGGAATACCCAGGAAACCACCTCTCAGGCAGTGGAGGTGAGGAGCGCTGGAGAGGCCCATGAAGGGTCCACTCTCCGCCGGCACTGGGAGAAGGGAGCTGTGGGCCCAGGGCCCGTGACCTGGCTAAGCCCCAGGGAAGGGGAGACACTCACTGCCCCGTGAGAGGCAAGACACACACTGGAGATGTAGCCCCAGGTTCAGACACACCCACAAATGCAGACATGTGCTCAGAGACCAGCCTTCTCGTGACAATGAGGATGGTGAGGATCAGGCTGAGGATGACCTCACTTGCAGTAAAACCCCTACTCTACGGCCAGTGCAGCACCACCACTGGCTCTGTGACTCAGCTCTGTGACTCAGCTCTGTGACCCAGCTCAGACTATGGCCTACTCACCAGCAGGCGTCTCTCCCAAGCACCTTTGCACCTGCCTCCCTGGCCAGGCCCAGAAGAAGCAACATAGCCCCTCCCTTCTTCACAAGACCACAGAAGAGCTCCCAAAGTCCAGTGCCAGCGGAGGACAGAATAGAGGGTGGCAGGGGAGGGATTGTGGCCCCATTCCACAGATGAGGGAACTGAGGCCCAGGAAGAAGCAGCAGCTTATTCCATGATCACCACCCCCAGGGCAGAGACCACATTGGTCAGAGAAGCTGACTCCTGATGTCCAGACTCCCAGCTCACACCACTACTCACACTGTTCTGCTCTCCCCTCAGCCCTCTGGACCTATTCTCAGTCCAGCCAGCTCCAGAGGGAGGCTGCCCAACACAGCCATTTCCCAGAGTGGGCCAGGCAGGATGCAGACTGGGCCTTGCTGGGGAATGTCCCTCCTCTCCTCCCCTCCCCTCCAGGCACAGACAAGCCTGGAAGGCTCAGAGCTAGTCCAGAGATGGGGCATATGTGGGGTGAGAGCAGGGCTGGCTGATACATTGGCCCCCACCTTCCTGTCTCCTGCCTATCAAGAGGAAACTTCTGACTTGACCTAAAATCAAATCCGTCTTCCAAAAGAGAAGACAAAGGGAGGAGCCAACCCTTAGCTGGGAGCTTGATGCCTGGGTTCTAGTCTGGCCCTGCCTCTGCCTCTCCTCCTGCATGACCCTAGGTGGTCACTTGCCTTCTGTGGGCCAAGTATCTCCTCACCTGGATGGAGAATGGTTGGGCTAGATGATCCCTAAGGCGTGCACTCTGGAGTCAATGCAGCTCCAGGATCATCTGCTTACGGACTGCCCAGCTGAAGCAGACATCAGAGATCATCCAGTCGGATCACCTTTCCCTGCACTCCTGCAGTACCCCAGAACCGTCACCCCAAAGTTGTCCCCACACCACTATGGCAGCTCTGACCTAAAATATCATGGCTGAGACTTGCTGAAGATCTCCAGGCAGAACTCAACTCCCACACCTGCAACTGTTTCCCCAGGACAGTTGGCCCAGCCCCTGCCCTGCTCTCCATCCCACCCTACCTATCTGGGCTCCTTGATAGTGTATTTACTCAACAAATATTTATTGAGCATCTACAATGTGCCAGGCACTATTCTAGGAGCTGGGGATACAGTGGTAAACAAGGAGACAAAAATCCCTCCCCTTGCAAAGCTACTGTTTCGCTGGGTTGGTTAGAGTTGCCCCCAAGTGTCATCCAGGTTCTAACACAGTGAGACCATTGCTTTTCTTGCTCCAGATGACTACACATTGTCCTTTGGCTCTACGTTCTTCAATGGCAGGAACTGCAATTGCATTGTCCTAATTCTCTAGTACCCATCATTGGCCGTAACACTCAGAAGACCTAACAGTGGATGAGTGCAAGGAAGGATAGGTGAAAGACAAATGAGTGGGGAAAAGAATGACTGCTTGGACAGATGAGTGGATGGATAGAGAGATGGGTAGATGATGGATGGATGGATGGTTGGAAGCGTGCATGGATACATGGAAGGATGGATGGATAGATGGATGATTGGCTGAAGAATGAGTAGTTGGGTAGGTAGACAGGTGGATAGATGGAAAGACCAGCGAACTGGTCCAATAAGAAGACAGGCCAACACAACCTTGAACTGTAAATGTTGGGAGGCTGCATCCCTCAGGTGACTCTTTCTTGGCACTCAGTTACCCAAAGCCCTCACCTCTCCTTCCCATTCTTGTACAAGAAGATGAAGAGAGGTCCTTTGCCTCTCATCCACCTCCCCTCTTTCTCAGGCCTCCTTCCAGAGTCCACAGGGGCCTCAAGAATGGCCCAGGAAACCAGAGCATGAGTGCATCTGTCCACTCCAGGCCCGGAGACTGAGAGCCTGAGGGAGAGGAGGAAGCGTTTTCTCATCTCACAGTGAAGTCTCCTCACTCAGGCTGGGAGATCGTGCTGAGCACCGGGTGCTTACTCATCAACTCATCCTCTCCTCCTCTCATTGTCTTGCCTGCCCCTTCACTGACTCAAAACTACTAGTGTTCTCTGCGTAGGAAACTTGGGGGGCAGGGAGGGAGGAGATGACATCTCCAAAGACCCTGTCCTCAGAGATCTCAACCAAGACATCACCCAATAACCATGCCAACCTCTTCAGAGAGGAGCTGAGCTTTGGGAGCTCAGGGGAAAGAGAAGGGTCTTGTGGTCAAGGACAGGGATGAGGAAGGCTCTGCACTCTGTCGGGGTGGGTTTAGTCTGGGTCTCGAGATGGACCGGGGGTTTAGGAAAAGCCCTAGAAGCAGAAAAGCAGCATGAAGAAATCCTCCTTGGTAGGAAAATGAAGGCTGAGATTGAGGAAGGAGGTCTTCGGTGGCTGGGAAGGAGGGTGGTGAGAGCGGGGCTGGACAGGACCCAGTTGTGGGCAAGGACCTAACTCCTGGGGCGGGGAGCTGCCCCACACCTGCCCTGCTTGCCACTGCACGTGCCACATCTCACCTGCCAGCACCAGCAGACGGCCAAGTCTTGGCCGGGTGATATCCTGGCTCCCGACCTGCAGCAGGTGCTGTTTATTCCTACCTTTGACCCAGCCCGAAAGGCACCACGACCTGCATGTTGTTAACGCAGGTGCACAGACAGCTCTGCGCCATTTCTGCTGCATTTCTATCCCTTTGAAGGCAAAGAATTATCCCTGGGCAGCCCCAGGGCTGGGGAGGAGCCGATCTCACCTGCTTTGTCCCACGAAAAGCCCAAGAGCTCTGGGCTTCACAAGCCAGCGCATCCAGGACCTTCATGACCTGTGGCTGTGTCAACACCTTGCCCAGGGCCCAGTAAGGAGATAACCATAGCTACTACCCTCAGGGAGGGGCAGGATGCTTCAGAAGAAGCTCCAGGTCCAAAAACCCCTCCCCAGCCTAGATTTCCTGGTGCCTTCAATTCCACCATTGGTACATGTTTCCTTAGTGATCAGAGTTACCTTCTTTATTTACATTTCATTTTTTCTTTTCTTTTTATTTCTAGACCTGAGTCCTATACTCAGTTCTGAGGGAGATGCCCAAACCTTTGGGGTCTGGGGAGAAGTAGGCATGTGAGGGCCCTCAAAGAGCCTTGGGAAGGGAAAGGGCCACGACTGCATGAGACCAAGGTCACACCTCACACCGGGCCCTTGGCTGGGCCAGGGCCATAGGCAGAGCTGACCCTGGAACTAAGTTCATGAAATGGGATGGGCTCAGGAAGGGCGGCCTGACTGCTGGGCAAACCTGGGATTTTCCTGAAACTCTGTCCTCAGTCCTTCTCTGAGGTCCACACCTCCCCTGGGAAAGGAAGAGGGCAGGGAAGGAGGAAGAGAGGCAGGAGGGCAGTGTTTGGTGGCTTAAAGGTATCTCTGCTCCAGGAGACTGTATAGCTCAGTGGTAAAGCGTGTGCTTAGCGTGCATGAGGTCCTGGGTTCAATCTTCAGTACCTCCATTAAAAATAAATAAATAAATCGGATTACCTCCCCCTCCCCCCAAAATAAAAAATAAATACCTCTGCTCCTATCCAGACAAGCCCCCCAGACCCAGGTTGCCCCAGCAGGCCCCTCAAGACCTGTCTGATCTCCCCACCAGATTTTCTCTCCTGCGCCCTAGGATGGAAATTCCACCTGAGTGTCTCTCTGGATATCCCTCTGGCATGTTCCTCCTGACTATGCTCCTTCTCCTCTGAAGTGCCCATGTCAGAGATGGCCCTGTCATCCCTCCAGGTTCCCCCACTGGTCCTCCTTCTCCCTCCCCTCCTCCACGATCCTAGTACCTTTCTGATCTGTGCCCGCTTCTCCATGCCTCACCAGCAGGATCACCGCCAGTCACCTAACAGACCCCTCCAACCCAGCATCCACACAGATCACCCAGAGTATCCTTTCCGAAATGCAAACCTGGCCATGCCCTCCCTCTCACACTAAATCCCTCTATGGCTCCCTACTACCCCCAAGTTATTCCAAGATGCAGTCCCCATGGGACTCTTCTCTGCAAAGGCTCCCCACATCCAGCATGTTAGCCACGTGGGGATTCCCCAAGCATCTGCTTGGGATGCCCTATCTCCTCCTGTCCACCTGCCAGCATCCACTGTAACACCACCTGCCCCTCCTTGGGCCCTGCCCCACGTAGTTTACCCTCTCTCCAGGTCACTCCCCACATTCTCCCTGGCAACCCTCTCACCAGCCAGACTCTGAGCAGAGGCAGGAGTTCTTTCTGTCTGTGTCCCAGTCTCCCCAGCCTGTGCGCACAAAAGTCCTCAGTGATTATTACTTGAACCAATGGAAAGCAAAGCACCAGGCTCACCTCTGGCTCAAGAAGGGCAGAAGCAGAGGAGCAGGGCAAATGGGCCAGCTGAGACCAGAGGACCCACGGAGGGCCCAGGGAAGCACAGCTGGGGTGGAGGAGGGGCATTCAGGCTTCAGGGGCACCAAATCAGCTGAAGGGGCCGGGGGACTTCAATGGGGGCAGCTCAGAGGCCAAGTGTGACCCTGAAGAAGCAATTTCTCTGGTCCCAACTCCTCCATGTCCCCAACGGAAGTAGTTATAACCATAAATATCCCATCCCTGACCAGTTCTCAGGGGTCCTGGGGAGTGACGGTGACAATGATGAGAACGAAGACAAAGTTCAAGGTGACAAACACTATCAGTGCCAACCTGTGCTGGACACCGTGCTGAGCACGTTGTTGACACAATTGCAATTAACCATCCCCCTGTGAGCTAGTGTCCCCATTACAGGTTGGGTTAGAGAGCTTGATTACCTGGCTGGGCACACAGTGGATACAAAAGCCCTCAGTGGGTGAGAAAAATGTACCCAGCACGTGGTCCCTCCCACCTTTCACCTTCTTGTCTCAGGATGGCTCCAGCAAGCCCTTGCCTCTCCCTGGAGCCTTCCTGAATGCGTCTGCCTCAGTGCCCTGGGCCCCTCTGGAGCGGCCTCCCTGATGATTCCAGCTGTCCTGATGTCCTCACCTCGGCCCCGGAGTATGCAGTGCTGTTCCCCCTACCCTGATCCCCCAGTTATACTGGGCTGAGCACCAGGCTACCCAAGATGAGACTGAGTCTCAGGTCCGCCCCAGGCAAGGGCTCCCTGCAGGTGGGCGCCAGGCTCCTCCTGTGCCCCTCACAGCGCAGCACCCAGGCCCCAACCCGCCCTACCTCTTCTTGGTGGGGGTGATGTCTGCCGGCCTCTTCTCCTGCATGATGGCAGGACTCCCACTGGCAATGGTGGCTCTTCTGCCCATGAAGGGCACCATCTCCTTGGGGTGGGCGTTCATGGCTGGAACACAATCACAAAGCAGGTGCTCGGGTTGAGGGGACATGGAGGAACTTCAGAAGGGGCTTCAGACCCCTGTGTTCACACCCCCTGGGACAAGGAGCTCACTCTGCCTTCCCAGAGACAGGGAGATTGTCCCCACAGCTTCCCCTGCTCCTGTGGGTCCTAGGAGAGCCCAGCAGAGCTTCTGGGTAGAAATCACCGTGACCTTGACCTCTCCCCAGCCATCACCCCCAGCCCCACCAATCTCCAGGGGGACTCATCAGTATTAGCTTTGCTGTTTCAATGTCTCTCCCAGGTTTTGTGTTCAGAATTCTCCTGGACGGAGGAGGACTGTCACCTTCTTTACTCTAGACACTATGCACCTAGTGACACAGCCTCAGGCTTCTCTGGCTTTTGAATTTCTCAGTCCCCTGGTGCTCTCTGCAGCTAACACACTGATCATCTTTCTCACCCAAAGCTGGCTATAACCAGCCTCATGGCTGGCTGTCCATTGGACTCCCTTGTCACCTGGAGGGAGCAGCTGAGCCTCACCCCTCTCCATCCAGACCTGCTTTGCTGATGGGCTGGATCCTGTGTGGGGCTTGAAGGGAAGCACCGGGAAGTGGAACAGGTATGTCTCCCAAGGACCCTATGTCTCTCACCCAAGACAGCTGGCTGCTCCAGCCTCTCTGCCCTGGCCAGTGAGTGCAGGACAGCCCTGGGCAGCTGGGACAGGAGAGGGGCAGGAGAGCCTGGCTGGGACTGCAGCAGCTGTCATTAGCTCCCTGAGTCACCCTGTAAACCTGCGTTCTCACCTGCTGGACTCTCTCACGGGCCTGGCCCTGGGACTGGGCTTCCTCACCTGAGAAGGGCCTCCCAAGTCCTGGTACTGACTGGAACGGCCTCTCCTGGGAGACAAACCAGGCCCTGGGGGCCACAGGCCACCTCCCCCACCCCATAGCTTGCTGGCTCAGCCCCTGTGAGATGCCTGGGCCCCATCGCTCTGGGGCCACCTCACCCCATCCTGAGCTCCCATCACATTGCTGCCCCGGAGAGCCACGTCCCTGGGGCCTGCTCGGGAGACAGGATCCTCCCCGTGACTGTCCTCCCTCCCCGAGATCCCCAAACCTCAGGGACAGTTTCCCAGTCCCTCGGAACCTGTGCTCTCACACAGTCCCTGTGGCCAAGAGCTCACATCCAACTTTGTTTCTCCTGTTAGAGACCCAGGCTCCCTCCCAGCCTGCCCCAAGGCCTGTCAGCAAAGGGCAGACATGGCCCAAAGGGTCCTCGTTCAGGGCTTCCTGGGGCCTTAGAGGGCACTGGTGGCCTGTGCAGCGAGGACTCACCTGGTGAGGCCTGGGTGGTGGTGGCTGCCCCTGTTCTGAGATCACCGCATGTCCTGGGCCCAAGGACCCCCAGTGGGACTATGGCTGAGGCTGCAGGAGGCTCTCATCATAGGCAGAAGGGTGGCTGGAATGAGGTGTCAGAAGTAGAACTGGCTGGGCCACCTGCCCTTGGCGCCAGGCAGGCCACGCCCACCAGCCACAGCTGCAGTGCCCGCCTACCACCCACGTGCCCTGCCTGAGTCACCCCCACACCCACAGGGCAGCCTCACCTCAACCCAGGAGAAGGCAGAGGGGGTGGCAGCTGCCAAGGCTGAAGTTCTGGTCCCACCTCTTCCCTCTCTTGTTTTTGATGCTTCCCATCATGGGCCTCAGAAGATCTACTTCCCAAGGATGCTGTGAGAATTCAGAGACCCTGCTGGTGGCAGGGCCTGATGAACTGTCATGTGCTCAGACTTGACCCCTGGGAGGCAAGGCCACAGCCAAGCCAAGGGCTGGCCCAGTTAACCCCATAGTGGCCAGCCCCAAAAGTTGGTATCCATCCTTCAAAATCTGGGATCAAGTCCCCTCAGAGACAGAGGAAGTCCCCATTCAATGCTTCCTACCAGAAATTATACACTGCAGACCTGGGTGTCGGACAGCCTCACCCACATCTGGCCGTATGACCTTGGGCAAATCATTTCTCCCAAGCCTCAGTTTCCCCATTATTAAATGTGCATAATAAACCCATCTTGCAAGGGTTAATGATGGGGTTTAAATGACAGAACACACAGAAAGGGCTAGAACAAGGCCCAAGGCTCAGAAAGAACTCAATAAAGGGTGACTTCTATTAACTATTCTTGTTTTTGTCATGCGATTCTTTCTCCCAGCAGCAACTAGGCCACCTGCCTCCAAGGCCAGAGCATCAGAGGAGACTCTGAGCCCTCCCTCGCGGCCCAGACCACAGCTGTGAAGGGGGTGGAGCAAGGCTGGGGCGGCCCTGCCAGTCTGGAGTCACTCAGGAATTACACATCTATTCCCGCAGGCAAGGCAGGACTGGGATGGAGCAGGAAAGCTCTGCTGACAGGAAGGGCACTGGTGACTGATATGATGGGGCTTCTCGTCACCGTGACCTGTCAGGCCTGGGCAGAGGCAGGAGGCACGTCAGGCTTCTGACCCTGGGACAGCAGGATCCGTGGCCAATAAGGGGCAGAAAACCTGGCTTCGTGGCTTCAGGTATGAATGAAGCAGAAGGCCAAGTAGGGGGCTGCTCTTGCAGCATAAGTAAAGGGCGCCCCAAAGTTCCCAAGCACACAATCCGAATCTCATCACTACCTGACACTCCTCCATCAAAGCCTGATCTTGAATCAAGCATCGTCCTCCCTCAATGACTGCATTAATTGCCCCTCCTGACTCAGCCCCTCACCCCTCCCAGCTTGCTTCTGGCTCACTGCCTCTGAAGCCTGAGGGTGAGGCTGTTGCCAAATTTCAAGCGTTTACATTTGCCTTGAGTTAGCAAATTTTTCTCAAAGGTCAGGAGAGCCCACAGTGGGACAGCGGGCAGGGAAGTCAGGGGCTGGAGTGGGGATCAGGACTGGGGAAGGCGTCTCCGCCCCCAGGGAACTGTTGGCCATATGGGAGCCGGGCTCAGGCAGGAACCCTAACCCCACCAGACAGGCTACAAGGACAAAGAGGATTCAAGCCACCAAGGAGGAGCAAGTCCCTCTAATGGGGAGGTGGGAAGGGGTTCAGAGAAGAGGGAGCATTTGAGGGAGGACAGTCTACGTGGGGAGAGCCACAGAGCAGGGACTCGGAGGCAAGAGACCCTGGCAGGGTCAAGGAGTGGTGACAAGCTTGGGCACCATCTAAACTCAGGGGGGCATCAGCGATGTTCTGCCAAGTCTGGCTACAGCCCTTGGAGTGACCCCAGACCACAAGTCGGCCCTGGCCCCCTAGTCACAAAGAAGGGGATCCTGCCTGGCGTGTGGAGCCCACAAAGCACAGTATAGCTGAGTGGAGTCAGGCATCCTGCCTCCTCCTACCAAGCCTGGAGCCCTGCAGAACCCAGCATTGCCTTGGCCTCCAGGTGGGTGACCTTGAACCCATAGGGCTCACTCAGGGTGCCCCACAGCCTGGGAGTCTGGGAGGGCTAACAGGCTGCCTTCCAGCTCAACGTTCCTTGTAGCGTCAAGAGCCAGCCCACCCTCATCATTGACCTCAGCTCTTCCTCTGACGGCGGCTGGAACAAGCAGAGCCTGAAGCGGCAACAGTCCCAGGAGGGACCTTTGAAACTGGTTGTGTGCGGGGAGCAGAACAGCAAGGGGAGATGGGGCCAGGGGCGCGGGGTGGGATGCAAGGCAGTAAAAAGGATATTCCCGCCCCAAGCCCACTCCCCAGAGGCCTGAATTTCAGGCAGCCTTGAGACACCTGCCAACATCCCCCATGTGTGCCCTAATCTCACCAGGCTGAGGTCACAGCAGGAGCCTTAGGCAGCAGAGTGTGTCATGTCTGTCTGTGTGGACTGGAAAACGCCCCCTGGAGGACACATCAGGCAGGTGTCGAGAAGAATCCCCTCCTCTCTGCACCTCCCAAGCCCTGGAGACAACAGGCCCAGGCTGCAGATCTGCAAGCTCCACCTCTCCAGGAGGGAGGAGGGAGACAAAGGGTCTCGGTGGGTGGGTTCAGCCAGGGAGGGGCTGACCTCTCGACCTGCTCTAGGAAACGCCCCACTTGGTGTGGCGGGGGAGGGGGGGAGACCAGGAGCAGGCGGAGCTTCAGCCACAGCCTCAGACCTGAGCCGACCCACCCTATGGTCAGCAGAGGGTCCGTCTGCATCCTGGCGGCCACCGCCAGCCCTGGGCTAGCAGAGCTGAGCGCCTGCCTGTCAGGGATCCTGGGCGGTGACTCCTGCTGCCTCCAGGTGATGGAGCTGGGGACATGGGAACTGAGAGAGATGAAGAGACAGCGACAGATACAAAAAGAAAAAGACCAGGCCAGTTTGCAGGCGTGGTCTCCTTTTAACAACCCAGGCTCACACAAAAGGTTGTAATCACTCATTTCACAAAAGAGCACCCACAGATCCCTTCCAGCGCTGAGTAAGTTCAGAAGTTGATCCAATTTGCAGAGACTTGCAGATGTCTGACATCTACACCTTTTCTGAGGAAGGCCTACAGGTAAGGCAAGGAGTCCCAGGCTCAGAGAGGAAGCAGACCCCGGGGTGGACCTGGGGATGGATGGGCTCGCCCCAGCACCTTCTCCGCCACGCAGCCTGGCATTGCAGTCAAGTTCTGGGCTTTGGGGTCAGACTTGCCTGGGGTCAGACCTGTGCAGCCTTCCTAATTATCCCAGCCTCAGTTTTCTCATCTATGAAATGGAGCTAATAATAGCTTTTCATTGGCTGTCAAGAGGCTACGGGATAACGCACGTGGAGACACTTTGCATAAACACTCCATGCATTCTCGCTTGGCAGTGTTCCTCCACTATGCTCATTTGCGTAGTCTGGCCACAGCTCGCTTCGTCCCCGGTCATCCAGCCCAAAGGCTCCTTTGTTGGGCTTTGTGTGTGGAGGCAGACGTGCTGCTGGAGAACTCAGAGAAGGGGGTCCCAGTGTTCCCTCCAGATAGACCTCCCACGTAAGGGCCAAAGCCCTGGCCTCAGCTAATGTCATCCTTCATCTCGTGAATCAACATCCAGCAATTTCAACAGGGCAGCTCATTCGACACTCCACAGACGTAACACAGCCAGCCAGTGCCTGGGACACAGCTTTATTCCGGATCGATGTTTCTTAAATTCTAGTCCATAAAGCAGGAGCCCTCAGACGTTTTCACAAAGGGCCAGAAAGGAAATATTTTAGGCTTAGCAGTCTCTTGCAACCACTCAACTCTGCATTGTAGCATGAAAGCAGCCAGAGACGGTACAGAAATGAATGGCTGCATTGTGTTCTTAGGAAAGTTTGTTTACAAAAACAGGCGGCAGGCCAGATTTGGCCCAAGGCCCCCAGTTAGCTAACTATGGTAGATGTATGCGTGGAGGAGTGCCCTCTCCCACGGGTAACAACTAAAGAGTGACCAGAGGCTCCTAGCCATACAGGGTAGTACACACACACATACACGCACACACGCACGCACAGACTACACGGAGCCAATCAGCTACGCCAGCCCAGTGACTGACATGGAGTTCACACCTGATACGACATATATTTATTTATGTATTTATTTGATGGATGGCAGAATGGGTGGAGGTGGAAGTAGGTACCACTGCAGGTGAGCAGGACTATAGATGGATATTACAGATGGACGATCATTAAAAAATTCTTTCCACGTGGCTTTGGGACATGGTTCTGTACTTTTATTTCAAATGCGAAGGAGCTAATATTTTTGGAACTGTGATGGATTACCCAAAAGGAGGGAACCACTCCGGAAACAACCAATTCTGGCAGAGCTGGGAATGGGGCAAGCCTCCCCTACCTCCCCTGAGGAGTGACATCATTAACCCCAGACCACTCCGGACGGGGGAGATATTAAGCATGATATAGACAAGAGCTTCGGAATTTTCTCTCAAAGGAAGTGTTTTGTTCAAAAAATTGTTTTACTAGGCTTCGTTGGCTTTCACTCCCAGGAATGCAAAATCGAAGAAAACAGGGGCATCGTATACATGCACGTGGAGATTTCTCATCTGTGATGTTTGATAAAGTCAGTAAAAACCAGAAAGTTAGGAGATTCACTTGGGGACAGTGAGGGTTGCATGGCCACCTCTTCCCGTGCATCCAGCAATGCCTCCCACAGCTTATCCTGTGAGGTCTGGGAAAGAGCCCAGAAGGTGGGTGCTGCTGAGACAGCACTGGTGTTCCTACACGCCCCCCACCAACAACACTGGGGTATCGTAAGGCCCACAGGGCTGAAAGCCCCCCCATGGGGTCCCTCACTTCTCTCCTAAAGCAGCAGGGTCCTTGACGAGCTCAGCATCCTCTGGCTTGAGGGACCCTGCGAAGTGCTTCAGATGAACTACCTCGGGCTGGACAGGGTGCCTTTCCCGAGTACTTGCATCTCTTAAGAGGGGAACCAGGGCAAAGTTCTTCCAGTGTCTCCCTGCAGCTGAAGGATGAAACGCCATTACTGCCCCCGGGGGCAACAAAAAGATACTAAACAATTATTTGCAGGCCTGCCCACCCACCAGACGAAAGGAGGCCCAGGTATGTTGGCGCTTCCTGAGCACTAGATCGGGGCCTTTCCTCCTCCCTCACCTGCTCAGGAAGCCTCATTCGCTCTGGTGGCTCTGAAATTCCCTTCCTCCACCCCACCCTGACTTGCCAGTGGCCACAGGAGATTCCACTACTAGCTCCTCTCAGCCTCTGTTCCCTCCCTGCCCACGTGGGAGGAGGAGCAATGCTGGGGCTGCTCCAGGAGTGGCTCCACACCAGGTCAGCTGCAGGATAATGAACACCAGCCAAAGGGTCAGGATTCGGGGTCCAGCCCCGACCAGAGCATAGATTAGGATCGATGCCAAGGGAACCACAGTGACACTGGGCCTCAAAGCAGGCTCTCACATGTGGCCTGAAATCCCAGGAAGCTCCTGAGGAGGACCCCATTATCACCCCCACTGTGATCCCCCCGCCCCCGCCCCAGCAACCTCGGAGAAGTAACAGCCAAGAGGGGCAGCTGTATGTGCCCTCCTTCTCTTGCCAGAGCCCTGGTCAGCCAGGCCCCCTTGTTGGCCCCCTTGGGTCTGATCTGTCTGGAAAATCAGCCTAAATTCACATCTCCCACCCTCATGCCACAATTCAGGCCCCTCTGCTGATGTCCCACACTGGCCACATCTTAAAGGCATCAGGAATGTAGGAGGCTGGGCCCATTGTGACCACTCCAGCAGAATTTTCCTGATCCTGGTGTTTTCTCCAGGCTGGCAGACTGACGCTGGCCTGCTCCCCTCAACCAAGCACCAGGAGGATGTGTCAGGGAACCTGGGCATAGGAGCAGGAGGGCTTCAGGGGCAGACAGGCCAGGTGCTCACTGAGACGCCATTTTCTGGCTGTGTGGATGGTGGGGACACCCAGCCTCGGAGACACCCGGCTCCAGTTTCAGGGCCCTCAAAGAAGGCATGGGGCTCCCAGTGCCCGTCTCCTACAGTCTTGATGCCAAGACTCCCTACATGCTCTCCACAGCTCAGCTACTGACCACTATTCTTCCCTGCTCTTTGTCTCACACATTTCCTCACCCCTTCCTAATCACATGTACTATTTGGGTGGGGAGAGTTTCTTATTCTCTGAATTATCTGACTACTCATTACTGGAGTTTCCACTGTTACCAAGTCATGTACAGGAAAGCAATTCCTCAGGAACTATTCACTAGTTAATTATATGTGCGAAATCAGGAAACCTCTAACCCTCTCCTAGACCCACCCCAAGTAACATGAGTGTGTCTATATCCTTGCTCCTAGGCTAATGTCTTTATTAACAGCATGGTGAATGTGCCGCATTGTAAACAGCCAACAATGTCATGCAAATACAATGCAAATACAATGCAAATCAACTGCAAAGGGAAACAGCAAATCTGGCAAAAGATGTGTAGTTTCGTGAAATTGATAAGAGCGATCATGGAAAACTGCTCAAATCACATGCTAAGCTACCCTTTGAACAGCTGTGTGTCAGAGTTGGACCAGTTAGCAACTGAAGAAAAAATAATCAATAAGTATTATGACACGACACAGGGAGTACGTCTAATGAAACTTGCAGGGAAATTACAGGACTGCAGGAGGCCCCTGGGAAAACTGATGAAGCAGTTTTCCAAAGTAAGCCTCTCAGTACAATAGATGTCCACTTCCAGCTCTGACAGAGTATGCAGCACTAGGCTGGCCATCTGCTGTAAATAACCATAAAACTGAATGAAATATACGCAGCAAATGTCTTCAGGCATCAGACAACAGACTGAGAAGCAGCAATTGCCAAGAGAAGTGAAATTCACAAGGCAAGCCCGGTGACCACTCTGATGTTTTGCTTAGGGACAAGTTCTCAGACTACAATGCAGTGAGCTGGTGTCTAGGCAGAGCGTGGCAGTGCCTCTGAGCTAAGGAAGAAGGAATCAGAGTTTTGGGCAGCCGAAGCAGCTAGGATCTGTGGGACAGGGCCCAGGAGAGGAGGAAGCAGGGAGCTGCAGGGGTGGAGGTCCAGAAGTCTTTGGGGTGGAGGCCTCCTTTCAAGTCCTTGGCTGAGAGTTGAGCTGCACTTTCACAGGGTGAGACAGACTGCATGAGGCTTACCAGACAGTGGTTGCTGTGGGGTTAAAAGTGGGACAGAGACACCAGAAGCTAAGCAGGACTGAGGGATATTGGAGATCCGGCCCAGACCATGGAGAGATCTCCTTAACACCCTTTTTCTACTCTGAGGATTGAGCTGGAATACCAGAAATGCCCTCCTTACTCTACATACCCTAGATTAAGGTCTACTCAAGACTCACTCCAAAAAGCCTAAAACCAAGCCCTGACAAGGTCCTCAGTGGAAACAGTTTGGAGGTCGAGTCCCACGGGTTTGAGGGATTGGCAAATACCTTGGCATTTCTACAGATCTACCCTAATAAAGGTTAAAACTAAGCCTACACAAGTTCAAGGTGATTCATCAGTAACTGAACTGCCAACTAGAATGAAAATTCAATCAAAAGTCTCTACAACATATTATTATTACAATGCCCAGTATATAATTAAAAGTTACTAGACACGTAAAAAACAGGGAAATGTGACTCACAGTTAGGGAGAAAAAAAAAAGCCGTCAACAGAAACTGACCCCAAGATAGCCTAGATGTTGGATTTAGCAGATTAAGCAAGTAGAGAAGGTTAAAGCAGCTACGATAAATATGTTCAAAGAACCAAAGGAAAACATAACCTTAATGAAGCTATGGAATCAGAAACCCATGGGACAATATCCAAGGGTCTAACACTCATGTAAAAGGAGAAGATAGAATAAAGCAAAGGTTTCCCAAATCTGATGAAACATATTGATGTACAGATCCAAGAATCTCAGCTAAAACCAAAGAGAACCATACATAAGCACATCTTAGTCAAACTGCTGAAAACCAAAGATGAAGAGAATAGGTTTAAAGCAACCAGAGGTGGCGGGGGGTAAAGACGCACTACAGACAGGAGAACAGCAATACAAATCATGGGTGACTTTCCATCAGAAACAATGGAAATCAGAAGACAGTGGAGAATCATAGTTTGGATGGAAAAAAAAGAACTTTGTTAACCTAGAATTCTATATCCAGTGAGAATATCCTTCAAACATGAAGATGAAATTAACATGTTCAGGTAAACAAACGATGATACAAAACTAATCCACAGTGATAGAAATTAGATAAATAGTTACCTGGGATGAGGAGGGTGGAACTGACTACAAAGGGGCATGAGTGTCTTTCTGGCATGATGGAAGTGTTCTGTACATATCTTTTTCCTTTTCTATTATGATTTATTATAAGCTATTTCATATAGCTCCCTGTGCTATACAGTAGGACCTTGTTTATCTGTCTTATATACAGCAGTTTGTATCTGCTAATCCCAAACTCCTAATTTATCCCTCCCACCCCTTTCCCCTTTGGTAACCATAAGTTTGTTTTCTATGTCTGTGAGTCTGTCTCTGTTTTGTAAATAAGTTCATTTGTATCATATTTTAGATTCCACATTATCAGTGATACATGATATTCATCTTTCTCTGTCTGACTTACTTAACTTAGTATGATAATCTCTAGGTCCATCCATGTTGCTGCAAATGGCATTATTTCCTTCCTGTTTATGGATGAGTAGTATTTTACATACATATATACATATACATATACACACACACACACATATATATACACACGCACATATACATACCACAACTCCTTTATCCAGTCATCTTTGTCAATGGACACTTAGGTTGCTTTCACATTTTGGCTATTATAAATAGTGCTGCTGTGGAAATGTTCTGTATCTTGAGCAAGGTGATGGTTGCCTGAGTATGTACATTTGTCAAAACTTATCAAACTGTACATTTAAACTGTATGCATTTTTATTATACGTAAGCTATGTTTCAATTAAGCTGATTTTTTTCGAGTTTCTGATATATAAAAAATGAGCTTCTCTATGAAGCAGTATCAAACATGCAGTATCATGCGATCAGGCAAGTCTGCCAGAGAAAGCGTGCTCTTTCCCCCAACTTGCCAAAAAAAAATAACTATCCAACACTGATTCATTCTTTGTTCATTTAAGAATTGACAACATCAGCAAAAATGGCAAAGTAGGCAGATTCAAACCCTCATGCCTCCACAAAATCATTAAAAAAAAAAAAGGGCAGAAACTTTAGAACCAATGTAGTCAGGACTCTAAGGAGACAGTCCAACATTTACAGCAGCCAAGCAAATGCTGAATCAAGAAAAAGGCAACTTAAAAATGGTAGGGAGCTAAAACTATAAAACTCTTTAAAAAAAAAAAACAGGGGACAACCTTCATGATATTGGATTTGACAATGATTTCTTGGAAATGATACCAAAAAAACAGGCAGCAAAAGGATAAATTGGGCTTCATTAAAATATAAGCTTTTGTACACCAAAGGGCAGCTCAGAGAATGGGAGAAAATATTGGCAAATCATGTATCTGATAAAGCATTAATATCCAGAAGATATAAAGAACTCCTATAACTCAACAACAGCAAAAAATTTTTAATGGGCAAAGGGCTTGAACAGGCATTTCTCCAAAGAATATCTATGAATGACAAAGAAGCACATGAAAAGATGTTCAAAATCACTAGACATTAGGGAAATGCAAATCAAAACAACAATGAGATGCTACTTCACATCCATTAGGAAGGCTACAATCAAAACAAAAGCAAAAACAAAAAACCAGAAAATACCACATTTTGGTGAGGATGTGGAACCAACCCTCATGCTTTGTTGGTGGGAATGTAAAATGACCTGGCTGCTTTGGAAAATAGTTTGGCTGTTTCTCAAAAGGTTAAACATAGAATTACCACACAAGCCAGCAACTCCACTTCTACCCAAAAGACTTGAAAGCTGGAATCAAACAGAATCTTTACACTGATGTTCACAGCAATTAATCACAAATGCCAAAAGGGTGGAAACAATTCTAATGTTTCCATTCATCGATGAACAGATGAATGGATAAATAAAATATGATATATACACACAATGGAACATTATTGAGCCAGACACCAAAGGACAAATATTGTGTGATTCCACTTATAGGAAGCACCTGGAATAGGGAAATTCACAGAGACAGAAAGTAGAATAGAGGTTACCACAGACTGGGTGGAGAAGGAAATGGGGATCATTGTTTAATGGGTACACAGTTTCTGTTTGGAAGAGTGAAAACATTTTGGAAATATGTAAAGGTGATGGATATCATTAATACCACAAAACTGAATTGGGAGTTTGAGATTTGCAGATACTGACTGGTATATATAAAATAGATAAACAAGCTTATTCTGTATAGCACAAGGAACTATTCTCGATATCTTGTAGTAGCTTACAGTGAAAAAGAATATGAAAACAAATATATGTATATTCACACATGAGTGAAGAATCGTGCTGTACACCAGAAACTGACACAACATTGTAAACTGACTATACATCAATTTAAAAAAAAAACCCACCAAACTGTACACTTTAAAAAATAGTTAAAATGGCAAATTTCATGTTAAATATATTTTTTAAATTTACCAATTAAAAAAAACTAAAAATAATTAGTGCCGATTAGTGCAGGGCTATAATTTTAACTCAAAATGCGTTCAATATGACTAGGTTTGCTG